CCCCCCCCCAAATGCAGCGGAGGGGTTTACCATCACCCTAACCACACATTTGCACCCCAAGGTTTGGGCGCCCCCTGTTGGAAACAAACAGTCACTACACTCATTTAGGAGATGCTGAAGCATGTTCTGCTTACCAGCTAGTTAGCTACGATCTTCTGACTAGTTCCCGAAACATCTGAGGGGGGGATGGAGGCCCCAAAGTGAATTTTTGAGTAGGGCCCCTGAAAGAACTACCCCGCTCCTCCCAAAAGGGGGCGACTTAATCCCGAAGAGGCAAAGAAAGAATAGAAACCTTCAGAAAAGGAGAGATAAAACTGATTTACACCTTGAGAGCAATAGGACAACCGCCGGAGACAGGTGCTTGACCCCAAACTCAGTGTGTTTCCTTCACAAGACATCCAAAGGTGGAATAGTGATCTTTCATCTAAAAGAACATTTTCCAGGCTGAATAAACACCAAATACGTAAAAGCAGAATCTGGTTTTCATGCTTGTGTCTGTGATTCAAAGCCAAGGTCTCAATCCATTTAAGCAATCACCCATTATGGAGAGCGGCTTGGGGCATTATGGGATAGTATTCAGGAATGTACCCTGTCTGCTGGACTGGAGACCGGAGCTGGCAAATATCTCTGAGGGAAATATTCAAAAAAGTGTCTGTTTCCAATTAAGCCATTTACATGGCGATCTTGCGGTGCAGTGCAGATGATGAACGATCTCTGTACACGTAACATACTGCAAGAAAAGAAACAAGAATTAAGTCAACTTATGATCGCTGCTGGTTGACCTTTGGTTACTAATTATACACTTAAGTTATTTTAGTTATTTTCCAGTCATTTTTCTATGTTTTTTTTTCTTCCTGGACAATCACAGTCTCCCTACAGGCAAACTATGACACTGCTTTGACCCACTAAAAACAATCTTTGAAATTCCCACTAAAGGCTCTTCTGGATCTGGAAGCACAGGTCTTACTGGGTGCTGGAGAAATTTCAGCGCTTCAGGCTCTCCTTCAGAGAATCCTGAAGTTGCTTCTTCAACTAATTTAATTCTTGGCTTTTCCTTATGCTGCTTATTTTTCTACACAGCAATATTCATGAGAAATAGACATGTGAAAAACACACACATACATACATACATCACCCATACCACTTATCTATAGCAGGAACGCAGAAAGCCTAGGATCTGCCCCAATAAGCACAGTGCATAAAGGAGTGGACACCCTCAATGAGACACAAGTTCTTATGGGTAAAACCCACTAAAAAGACCACTAGCTTTTCCTTAAATGAAAGTTGCATAAAACTGCATATTTTGCTGATGACTCATGATGATATACAGTAAGCAGAAGAACATAACTAAACAGGAAAACTCCACAGTGGGATTACCTGAGGACTAGGGAGTAGCATGAAATGTCTGGTCTGAAATTGTTGTGATGAATACCCCAGGGTCTCAATTTTTCACAGGAAATGCTACTGCTCAGGCATTTTAACTACAGTGCTGGTCAAATGTACATACTGTCCCCTGACTCGTGGGGGTCACCATGACCGTTTCCCAGAATCCTTTGGGAAGCTAGTGTCTAGAGGCGATGGAAACACAGGGTCATAATGGCACTTAATCAGAGGAACAGAGAGGAAGCATGAACCTTCTACAGGGTGGGCAGTGATGTCCCCAAAGTGTTCCTCCTCAGTCCACACATCCATAAATGCAGTCCAGTCTTTGAGGAAGCTCATAACTAATTCAGGAAAGAGCCATTTCCACAATTAAGGTAATTAGTCTGTCGGCGCTTAAGACTGAAAAGATAATGAGAACCATTTTGGGACAAATGCAAACGCTGACGATAATGTAAGGCAATCCAGACACGCGCTTATGGCAGGAATACATCAGCTGGCCTATTGAGCAGATCGGGATCCTTCTGTAACTGTGATCCGTGCGCTTAGCTGTTAAACGGTCAGCATGTGCTGAACTCACAGATTTCACAGTTAAATCCTAATCAGAAGTTACAATGAGTTTTTTAGGCATTTGATTAAGAAGAGAACAGACTTTAATTATTACTGCATTTTTATTGAGTCAATTAAATATTTAATTGTCAGTAATTAATGCTTTCATTATTGTTCCAAGCCCCTGAATGAGTAAGTAATGAAAGACTGATCAGAGTTAATATTTATTGGATAGATTGTTTGATTGGGAGTAAATGAACCAAATTAAATTTATTTACATATTAGCACAATTGTACCGGCAAAGGACCTGGAGACAGTAATTTAGATGATAGTGTGGTTCATGGCTTGGCTTGGTCTATTTTGGCAGTATGTGGTTCAGTAGATTAAAATGCTGGGGTTGAAATCAGAAGGTTGTGGGTTCAAACCCCACTTGTGATTTCATTATGAGGCCCTTGAGCAAGGTCCACAATCTTCACATGGTCTAGAGTCAGCCTGATCTTGCTTTCATAAGAACAAAAAAAGTATGTCGCTTTGGATAAAAGGAATGCCAAATAAATAACTAGGCTATGACATTTTAGTTAATGTGAGCTAAATGGTGAACCTTCCATTTGACGGCTAACTTCCGAGGTGCCAAACGACAGCAATTTCTGTATAAGACTGAGTGAAAGTGAAAGAGAAATTTAAAAATGCACCCAGACTAATGGAAAAAGGACAAAATTATCTACAGGCTGAGAGTGTAGCCTAATCCCAGAGAACATTCCAGCGTCTGCACATCAAAGTCCGCACTCCGCATCAACCCTCCGTGTCTCTCGGCCCCATCTCATGTATCTGCTGCGTTTTATTAGTCCCGCCCACAGCTGGGAAAAGTCAGTAATAAAGACAAGACTTCGATATCTCCAATGAGGCTGAACAACATATCACGCAAAGTGTGTGTATATATTTTACTTTTTTCATTTTCATCTTTTATTTACTCTATATTGACAAGCAGAAGTGAGTAATTATGTATTTTGTCCCCTTTTGTCTCGGATGAATAGATTGATTCCACTTGGAGCCATTAAATCAGGTATAATCAGCCATTAAGATGTTAATCAGTTACCAATGAGAACATGAATGAACTAAAACAATCATTTTTCTCTTACCATTTTAGCTACCCCTGTTCTATGAACCTTATTCAGGTATAAATGTATAGTTAATCTATAGGGGACAAGCAATTAAATCAATATGAATTAGGAAATCTGCTGAAAACTTTATTTAAAAAAGCGAAATGACAAATTGCAGTAAATCAGCACTGTAGATAGCAGGAACGTATGTCGGGCCTGGCACTGCATGCGGAGTGAATCCCAGCCTGGTGCCCTGTGCCGCCCGGAACAGGCCCCAGGCAATTCAGGAAGCTGACCTGGATAGATACGCAGAAGATGGAAGGTCAGACGGACATGATGCAGGAAACATGCATGTTCCTCCTCATCAGTCAAAGATGATGAAACTGCCTGTAAGGATGCAGGAGACCAAACTCTGAGTGACTCAGTGACCTTTGATGCTGACGCTGCCTCTGTTTCTTGGAGACACACTCTGTGCAAGACTCTCTGTATTAGTCACCCGCTAAGAGTGTGCGAGTATCTGAGAATGAAACGGGAGCTGTAACAGATAGACAGGGCGATGAGGGAGACTCTGTACGAGTGTGAAAACCTATTACCCTGTAGATGAAGCATTATACCCCCTGTGGTAGAGAGAGATTAATAAAGTTTAGGGAGGTTGTAGAAGAGCTGGTTCTCATACGCTGGTAACTGTGATGCTCCCTGGACTACAGTCAGCCATTAAATGCTCTAACCATGACTAGCAGAAAACATAGAGAGTGGACAAACCTTTTTCGCATGCCTTGGGGAGAGATGCTAAATGTCACTGTTTTTTCCCCCATTGTCTCAATCTGTTGCTCGTGAGTGTTTATTTATACACACATTCTGATTCGACAGCCACAGTGCCTCCCGGATTCGCGCTCAGATCACGACAGCAGCACTCCACCAAAGCACAGTCTCTCTCATTTTGTTTAGATTGTGTCTAAATCTAGCTTTACGCTAAATAAACAGTGCTCACCCCCGTCCACCAGGGGGCAATCATGCGGCTGGATGTGGCCTCATGTGACCCACAGGCTTCCTCTAAGAGGATCTGCACAAACTGCAATAAAACCACGTTTTTAAACCCTTGTCGTTCCTCATTGATTTCCCCTGAGGTCTGATGAGTGTCATTAACAGGAACAATCTTTAAAGCTGAAGAAATTTTAAATATAAAAACCAAACAAGACAACAAATCATCAAATACTGTCCCGATGACCCATTGTGTGGACAGAGCACTCTAGGGGAACAGGTTTAATACAGGAGACCAGCGAATCAGACACAACAGCAGGAGACATTCAGGAACAATGAAGCAAGTTACACCTACGCAAGAATCATCTGTTACCATGCTGTCACCGTCATCAGCAAAACAACTATACCTAGATAAGCATCAAATCAAACTAAAATGACACCCCGTGTGTGTGTGTGTGTTTGTGATACACACAATGATTTCCTAGTATGGACAGGCTAGTATAAAGCCACTAAAAAAAGAAGAAAATAAAAACAGCCCCCCCTAGAGGCCTGTAAGAACCCCAAAACCCATCAGTTTAAGTGAACCGGTGTCTGGACCTTCACCCAAATCAGCCGTTCAGCCGATCGGCCTTTTCAGAACCAGCTCTGCTGGGTCCCACTGCGGCTACAATTAAAGACAACAGCTGCATCTTTAACCTTTTCAGACTAATCACGGCTTTTCTTTCTCTTGACTGTACACCTGTTAATTGTCACATGAGTGAATTAAGTCGCCCTTTCAGCCATCAAAGAACAATTTGGCATGATTATGGAGACAAACACCCCTGATTGGGCAGTACCTCTAAAAACCACAGTGATTATCCAACTAACACTTACCTTTTTAAAGTATACACTATTAATGTAATTTGCAGGACTACCTTTGACAATTTTAGAACGTTATGC